GAATTCATGAGTATGGTTATGTGGAGCATCATCGTAGTAAATAGTGTCTAAGATAGTGTAAACTCCCACATTCTTATACTTATATAGCAACGTAATTATGTTTTGAAATACTAATATATGTGATGATGTATGCATGAACTACGTGGATTGTAAGAGTAGAAATAAAAATGTTAGTTGAGGTAATAGGGTATGAATTGGAAGTTAGGAAGTATTCCAGAATTCAAACACATTTTAGATAAAATTTGGGTAAAAAGGATTTTGGACACTTCTAGTATTTGGACCATACCATTTTACCCTGATATTTGTTTGAGCTGAAATTTTTACAGTAGATAGTAGACTTCCAGGGCTACAAAAGTGTATTTCACAAATATTTTCCAAATCGACCTTTAAATAGGCCAAAACTTCATTGGAAGTTTCAACAGAAACAGAAAGTCCGTTCGAACAACCTACGTTCAAACATGAAAGTTCGTTCGAACGACAATACATTCCAGTACTTTGTCTCTGATGAAAAAACAAAAGTACTAGAATTAACTAATGTTCGAACGCCAATGACGTTCGAACGTGAGCGACGAATCAAAGTATCAGATTTACGTTGTTTGAACTCTTTTTTTCCCCTATAAATACATAAGGGTGCCTCCAATAGCTCCATTTCAACATTTATAACCCTAGAGAGGTTTAGAGAGGAAGAAATAAGGGGAAAAACACAAGATCAAGAGGGATTTGCACATTGAAGAGGATCAAAACTTCTAGTTTTTCAAGAACGTCAAGGAAGAAGAAAGGTAGGGGTTTATTCTCATTCTTGTCCATTGAGGCTAGGGTTTATATTTATGTATCTTTTGCTTCAAAAACTTAGATATATGTTATGATATCCTTGTATCTTGATGTTCTTGCAAACCTTCTCATTTTTTAAGTGAGATTATGGGTTGAAAGCCACAAAAACCCTTGTTTTGACATCAAAACCTAGTTTTTCAAGAGAAATTAATTTTTTCCTTGATTTTTTCTTTGTTCTTGATTTAAAAACTCTAGTGCTTGATATTGAACAATAAAATGGTATTTTTAATGATCTATTACATATTTTCTTAAATTGTTCTATTGGAACAATACATGTAAAATTTGGGAATTTGAATTTTGCTTTGTGATTTGAGGAAATGGGTTTGTATTATATCTCTTGTTGATGTTTGGATGAACATGGATGACCGTTGACCGAGTATCGTAAAGTGGGTAGATGCGTTTCTTACTCCGTACGGGTTTGAATTTTTTCTACCACGCATAATGGGGTTGGTGCATTACGAGGACCAAACCACTATTCGCTTACAGGTACTGAGGCTGAGGGTTAGTATACTATTCCTGAATTGGATTCGTCACTACCAATGCGTTGGTATACGCCCTTCCTAAAAGTTGGATAGCCTTGTGAGGATTGGGTGTGCGTGTATAAGCCATGATATTCTCGATGTGTTTATTTATGCAATGTCATACATCATACTTGAAATACAAATTGTATTTTGATATACATTGTGGGCTATTTTTGATTGTACAAATGGTTGATTATGATTTATTGTGGAAAGGAGTTTATGGTAGAATCGGTTTGTTGTGAAATTGGTTATTGTGGAAATGGTAACTTGCTAGAAATTGTTATTATTGGGAATTGGTTTTACTTTTTTTTTAATTATTGTTATTGTGTAAACTTGAGATCCACTTAAATGTTCTTGTTTTCCTTCAAAAGCTATATATGATATTTGTAAAATGAGACCGACCATGTTATATGCTTTTCAAACCTTGTTCGAGTTTGAGAAGATTTTCCTATAGAGCTTAGTGCTCACCCCCTACAAACAATATCTTTTTCAGATTATGGTCTAGAGGAGGAGCTCAGAGTTGATGAGCCAACACATTGGGAAGCTCCAATAGATGGGAACATGGATCCCAAAATCGACGTTTAGAGCTATCATCTCTTATGTTCTAGATTAGGAATTCATTTTGAGACAATGTGAAGTCTTATATTTTTTTTTTATTTCGCTGCAAGATAATAGTTAATTTTTGGGATATAATTGCCATAGTTTGGCATATTCGTTTGGATGATTTTGTATATATTGTGGGTGATAAATGTAATTCTTTTTAGTTATGAAGTTTATTTAGTTGCTCTCATGATGTAAATGGTTTTTAAATAGTAATGTCATCCAAGAGGGATTTTGGGGTGTTACAGATAGTGAAAGATCTCTTTTGGGCACAACCAACATCAATCCAACTCACAATGGCTTTCCTTTTTGTTTTTATGATGGATTGCACGTATAAAACAACTAAGTACTGACTGTCACTATTAAAGATTGTGGGCGTGACTTCTATAGGAAAAACTTTTGTGGCTGCATGCATTTATATGGAATCAGAAAAATAAGAAAATTATTGTTCGGCGCTTGAGTGGTTTAAATCTATTTTTGGGGATATGTCGCTGCCTGGGGTACTTGTGACTGATCTTGACTTTGCTCTCATGAATGCAATTAAGGATGTCTTTACAAATGCAACCAATTTATTATGTCATGTTCATATAGAGAAAATGTCCTAATAATTGTATAAATTAATTTTCAAAGAAGAAGATGTGGAATAAATTCAACGTAGCATGGTTCGATGTCATGCGAGCATCGATAGAAGAGGAATACAAGAAAAATATGCAACAAATGGAGATTAAATTCGGTTATCCAATTGAATTGAATTATCTTCGAGAAACATGGCTTATAAATCATAAAAATTAGTTTTTTTTTCAACATGGATTGATCAATACTTCCATTTGGGAATCACTTCAACTAACCGAGCTGAGACTAGTCATGCCAAGTTGAAGAAGCACCTGAATTCATCAGTCCAAGGCTTTGTTAACTCCTTCAATGCCATTCATCTATTGATAGAAGTACAAATTATAGATATCAAATCATCATTTAAGGATAGTCTGACAAGGACTCCACATCGATTTAGAGCTCTGTTGTACAAAGAACTCATTGGCATTGTCTCCATAACTGCACTTGATTAGGTTGACTGATCATAGTGAAAACTTCCCTCCTTGAGCCAGTAACAAAAGTGAATCTAAGAGGTCGGAAGAAGAAAAAAAGGGTGAAGAAGAGCATTGTGATACCAGAAGAATTATCTAAGTGCAATCGATATGGATTTAGTATGTTGCATTATTTGAGGAAAGTCAAACAAAGCTAGTCATTAACCTGTCTTCACAACAATTTGTAAAAGGGCCTTTAGTGCACTCTGATTGGAAACCTGTAAAACCAAAGTTTACTTTGCATCGGACTAGAAATTCCAATACAATGAGGTATGTAACATAATTCCCAGACGCAATAACTCATTTTTATTGCTATTGTCATTGATGTCCTAGGAGATGGACATTGTGGGTTTCGGCTAGTTGTTGGATTCTTGGAGATAGGGGATTATGGTTGGAAGCAAGTGTGGCAAAACTTGTTAAATGAGTTGAAGACATTTAACATTAACTACTTTCAAGTATTGGGTGGTGAAGTGCATGTGGCTAAATTAGAGGAATCCATTCATTGTTGGGATAATAATGTTGGCTTAGAACAGTGGATGACAATACCAAATATGGGGCACATGATTGCATCATGTTATAACATTGTTATACTCCACATATTACACCACCAATGTCTCACATTTCTTCGTGTTCGTCAGCAAACATCTTACAAACCAAGTCATCGAATTCTCAGATGTGGTTACATCAACTCAAGTTACTTTGTCAGACTGAAGTTCACTCTAGGTTCTCCCTTACCTCCCGTGTCAACTATGTGGCACAAGTATCATTATGAACTGTCTAACGGGTGGATTACTCTATATTTGATGCGGATAGAAAGATTCAAGACTTTGCTAGGAAACAATTAAGAAACTGTAATTATAGATATTCCTGACGACGTAGCCTAAAAACAAAGTAAGTATTTTTTTTAAAATCATAATAATTTTATGTTTTCATAAATTTTGGGTCACTATTGATTTATATTTTTTGTTTTAAATTTTATACGGGGGTTTTCTTTACTTGATACAACTTATGGAATCGAAGCGATAGCGGAGAGCTTGATTAGGGTTCTAAAACTAAATTGGGTTGACCTATATCATTTGTATTTTTTAGCTTTTGAAATGGGCTTATGACCTTTTTGTTTTCTTCCATTTTGAATATTTTTTTTCTTTTCTCGTCATTGTGATGCACCATTGTATAATAATACACTTAATTTTGACATTTGATATTAAAGTTCTATTTATAATATTAGTATTTTACTGGACATCAAATACATGGTTCAAAAGAACTAGGACAATTAGATAAATAAGCAAAAAAAATCTAGGAAATAATAAGATATTTTAGATGAACTTTTAAACAAGTAAAATTGTTGTTGATGGCCAGCTAGCTAACAACTCATTTATATATAAGCTGAGAAAGTAAGAAGATGATAATAATTTATAATTCCAGATTATTTTCTTTTTTGATTTGGGTGATGTTTACAAGTCGAAAGATATATTAAAATATTAATGGGGTGGACTTAATCATCAATGAGGTGAGTTTAGTCACAAATTTATGATTACATAATAGGGTGGATTTAGTTATTAAGGGGGTATATAAAATAAGTGAATTTACTTTTCTAATTAGGTGTGTATAACCTAGAACGAACTTAATTATTAGTGAGATGGATATAAAAAAAAGTAAAATATTTTTTGGACTTAATTTGAAAATTTGATTTAGAGACTTAATGATATATAACTATTGGATTGATTATAAACTTTATTTAACATTAGAATTTACAACTAATCCGATAATTATATTAAAATTATATTATTATATCTCTAAATTAGATATTCAAATAATAAAAAATTAAATAGAATGAAAGCCGCCCGGTGGAGGGGGAATCCACCTTTCAATATTCTCCTCGTATTCCATGTTCCTAAACGACTTAAGTCTTAACGAGAGAGAGAGAGTGAGAGTGTGTGTGTGTGTGCGCAAAAGTTTCACTTCCATGGAATCTCCCTTCAAGCCAGATATACTGAAAGGAAAGGTTGCATTGCTGACTGGTGGTGGATCAGGTATTGGATATGAGATAGCAGCACAGCTGGGGAAACATGGTGCCTCAGTTGCCATCATGGGCCGACGCAAGAACGTCCTCGACTCTGCTGTATCTGTTCTTCGTTTTCTGGGTATTCAGGTACGCAATCCTCAACCCTCTCCATCATTCGCCCTCGTTGGCTGCCAAGAAAATTAAATACAAAAATAAAAAACATTGATCGTCCTCTTTGAATCGCAACGGAGTTGGAGCAAAGGGCAGGACAGAAAAATTTTTAGGGAGTGAAGGTTTCAGAAACCACAGAAGCAGAAAAGTTTTTGAAAATCTGTTTCTCAATGGTAGTTACCGAAACTAAACACCTCAAAACATTAAAATTTTGGTATTCAATCACTGAAATGGAAATGTTCGGTCATTCAGATGCCAAAAATCGAAATTGTGATCCTGGCCCTATAACTATTTGGTTCTCCCAAATAATTTGTATACACATAGATATCATGAAGATTGACACCTCCAATTTGATGAATCTAATTGTTAAACCTTATTTTGAACAAAATGTAAAGGAGAGTTTAAAGCATGTACATCAGTTCTATTGATTCTTCATATGATAAATGAGAGAGAATGATCTAAAATTGAAGAATTAATTGCATTACCAACTGTAGAGGCTATAAAAGAAGGGTTCAATTCTTTGTTGTTTCATGTATTTAGTGTTCCACGATGCTAACTATTGACCTATGAGCAGTCAATTTGAGTTATTTTGGTGATTAACTCTAATTTTCACCGAAATCTTTTATGTCTTTCCCTAGAAATGCAGCCTTGCTGAGTATTCTCATCTGCACATCATGGATAATCGAATATTCTGTAAAAGATGATGTGGTTCTTCCTAGTCTTCAGCTGGATCATTTACATCAAAAGTGTAGTTGAATATTCTCCTCTGCACGCTATGAATGAATGAATAATTATGATGTAGGACAACTTTGTAAAATAAAAATAGGGACTACTTAGGGGTTGTGAACAGTAATGTCTGTGAACGGTAGCTTAATAGTATTTTTGGTTAGGAATCACTCCTAGGGTTCCGTAGCCATCACACCTAGGATTAGAATTGTATCACACAACTCAAGAAACATGTAATTTCTCAAAATTTTGAATATCTCTCTTCATCTATTGTTAAAAGTAACACTAACTATATATAGAGTTCTAAGTAATCATAATTCCAAAAGATTAGGATTCTAAAGTCTCTAGAACTTCAAAAAACACTAGGTGTTTATAAATTAGAAAATTAAAATTAAATAAAACTAAGACTTTAAATTTTAGAATATTCAATACTAGAATTTGACCCAAAAATATGACCCATTCCAGAAATTCTAGAAATTACAAAAATACCCCCAATACTAAAAAATATTAAAAATGACATATAAAATATTAATACTAACAAATTAACTTAAAATAAGAATGCAAGGTTCCATATGAATCTTTGTCTTGATGGAAAGACAATTTCATTAACTTTCACATCTTCGAATTTGTGTTTCCTTAAGCATCTTATGGATTGCATCAAATTCATTCTATAAAACATCATGTCGTTCCTGTTATTCAGCTGGATTACTTACTTGAAGCAAATTCTTCAACTGGATTTGTAAAAAGTTTAGTTAGACCTCTGTTGTTTTTTACTAATATCTCAAAGTTGATTACATGATCCAATTGCAGCTGAAGCAAGAGCTTCTTAATGTGCTTATTGCCTTTGTTGCTTAATAGAGTTCAGATTTAGAATTCTGACGGGGATGCACTGAGGGCAGTTACTTTTGTGCTTATTTGAAACTATAAAACATCTAATTGGTTGTGTTTTTTCTTTTGTTAATTGATCTTTGTTATGCAAGAGATTGCAAACACAGAACGAAGAAATTACATAATTCAGCTTCAAAGCCTAAGTACTACAAAACAAAGGTTTATTCTCCAATAATAATTAAGAATGAAATGACCTTACTAGAATTGAATTTGATAATGTCTAATAAAGTCACACAAGCAATTAGATAATGTCTTTTCCTAGGAAAACTTGGAATTTGGGCCACTATCCAACAAATCTCCACCTCGGTAAAATTGTGTATCACCATCTTAGCTTGTATTTCATCAAGCCAAGAAAAACAAAAGCATACAAGTATAGCTGCCTTCTCCACAGACCCTAGGGGTACAAGTTAAACACAATGAACACCAATTGAGT